TATAATGAGTTATTAAATCACTAGGTGAAAGAACCTTGGATTAGTTTCAAGTGCACATCCATTTGAAACTAATCCGTGGTTCTTTCACCCAATGACATAATAACTTATCATCATCATAATAATAATAATAATATCATTAACAACTTATCATCAAAAAATTTATTGTCATATCACTCCTCATAATCATCATTTTCATCCATGAGACATCATATAACAACTTGGTCACTAGTTATAATAACAACTCCTCCTCCTCATCATCATAGTACTCATAATCACTACTCCTACTCAGCATCACCATCAAGTCTAAGACGTTGTAGTCATATAACTAACTAATTGTTCTTAATACTTAGGACATACTCCTCTCTCCTAGCTAAAATACCATAAAATAGATAAACCGGTCCTTCACCATACTGGAGAATGGACATAAACCTATCTCCAACTTGTGGCTTGCGCACGTTCATTTTGTCTCCAATTATTAGCGTATGCGCATTCATCACTTTGCTCCATTCTTTGATTTTGAGCCTTCCATCATTTGAAGATATCGAGTATGCAGTATGGTATGTCTTCGAAGGAGTTGGTTGTAAGCTAACCATATGCATATCACCTTCAGTAAATAGCATGTCAGGCACAACCTTCTTCGGGAGCCTCTGTTAAAAAACATAATAGTAACATATATAGTTAGCAATGTAGTTTACTTAAGAATAATTTATGCAATAAAGTTACCATCATTAACAAAATCTTAACAAGTTTTTGGCAATGAAGTTACCATCAAGCAATTTATGGACTAGTGGCACGCATCTAGTATAATTTGGGCTGATAGAGTTACTGGTTTTGAAGGCCTCAAATCTTCAATGAATGAGACAAGATAACCTTTCTCCTCACAATTAATCTTGGAGTCATAGTTGTAGTATGTGTTGTCTACTACCTTCCGAGTATTTCTTGAAGATAAGAAATAAGCTGACAATTATAAATAAATAAGTTTAGTACGGACGAACACCAAATATTTTTAAATTAACAACATAAATTACTGAACTTAACAAATTAGTTTGACAAACTCACATCTAGGCAAAACTGGAGGCATATCCACATCCACCCAGATGTCGATATTATCATCATCATCATCATAATCTTCGGGACGAATATCAAATATTATTCGCATTCTCTCCTCAAATCCATATGCCTTGCAGAGAGCTTCCCAATTAGAGCAACCGAAATGGTAGCGATCAATCGCATTGTACAGCTTAACCAGAAACTCATAACCATGTTTAGTTCTTAAGTGAGCCCTCGTCGTCTCCACATTCTCAAAGTCATCTAAACCAAAACCAAGCTTCTCCAATACATATGGTCTAGCATAGCACGGGATGTACTAATCGAATTCAAAAAAAGCTATAAATTACACGTTGAACAAAAGAAGCACAAGTGATGAATTTAATTACGATGAAATTCTTGTCGTTGCATACCGTACAAACATCAAAGGTCTCTTCCAGCTTCACGGTGAAAAACCTATCATTTTGCAGGTGAGGAAACAAGTCGCACACACCCCGATCATCTAGCAGTACCCGCACTCCGGGATCCCATCGTCATCAGACATCTCCTATGTTCAAAACTCAAAGATTATAACTCGACGACAAAACCCAAAAAATCCGGCATGAACTTTGCTAAAAAAAGGACATAACGAGCGCCTGAAATTTGCCGGAATGGAATCAACACTCCGGCAAAACATATGCCACTTATCAATGGTCATTGCATTTCAATGGTTGAAAATATGTATTTGGAGGGAGTACCTCGGTGTATAGCAGCGCGCCGGCGGCGGACGACAGAACCAGCGTGGGCGAGAGTGAGAGTGAGAGGGAGAGTGAGTGAGAGGGTCGGGCACGTGTAGGATAAGGTAAGTAAGTAGTAGCGCATTTTCCTAGCATGCGCTACTGCTATGGGCCGTAGCAGTAGCGCTGGTTGAGTATACGCACTACTGCTAAGTGGGGCTAGCCATCTGTGCCAGCACAATCGTAGCAGCAGCGCGTTTCCCTAGCACGCGCTACTGCTAAAGTAGCAGCAGTAGCGCGGTTTATGTAGACACGCTACTACTAAATAACAGCAGCGCCCATTTTTGTCAAGCGCTACTGCTAAGATGTTGTGTATAAGGTTTTGCCTAGTAGTGGTAACTTGAATTCTTGGATCTGCCACTGCACACATATCATACAGGCAGGCCAGTACGAATTAAATGAAATGCAGGGACTTATGCGAGCTCGTCGTACAGGCTAACTGCTGCTCTGCTTGCTCTTGGGATGTTCCATGTACAGGCGCATGTTACCACTTGCTTGGATGTGCATGCCCCGTGTTCCTTGCATCCCCCTTTGCATTTTTTGAACAGAGAATGGTTGACCAATTGAGAGGAATTGACCTTCATGTTCTACCAAAGGACTGGTACTTACAAGGTTATATTGGCGTGCAGGATGTGTACCAGATCCCATAGCGGTTTCATGCTTCGCTAAGAAAATAGTTTTGCATGTTTCGGATGATATCTCCAGAAGAAATAACAATTAAAGCCAGAGTTGCATAGGTGTGCAAGCTAAGAGAGCAGTAAAAGGATATCCAAACATCATCGGAACAGTGCACATGGGAGTGACATGTGGATACCTAGTTTCGGCCGGCGTTTGGGCATGCTCTCCTAGAGAGCGGGTCACTTCAGAGCCGTTGAGGGTGATGCGATGGCGTTCGCTAGCCGCTTATGGATGCAGATCTTGAGTGGGAGCGCAGCGCTATGATGCGGTGGACGAGGCCGTTGGTGAAGCACCAACTGCCTCGCGAGGTAGAGGTGCAACGACATGCTCGGTGAAGTAGCCCCAGTGAGGTGGGAGATAGTGTCGGTGAAGTGCACCTGATGCGGTGGAAGTCGGTGTCTGTGAGGCACGTCGGCTGAAGTGGCCAACATTATCGGTGGACCACCTGGTGTAGTGGACGAGGGCGTAGGCAAGGTAGCTCCGGTGCGGTGGTGAAACGCGACCGTAGTCTTCGTCGTCCTTGTCCGTCACAGAGGAGGGGAAAGAGACGAGATGAGGGCGATTCGGTTTTTGCTTGGATTGGCGGCGAATTAGGGATTTAAGCGCTCTAGGTGTCGAAGGGGACGGGGAATAAGGGATTTTGCCGGGCTAGAATTGGGGCCGCCAGATATTACAACCCGAAACATGGAAGCGCTATCCTTTTTTGTCGTTGTTATTTTTTTTACCACCGCACTGTACGACACACGCGACCACCACGTCACGACCCTAGTCTGCGTGGTGCACCTAGATTTGAGAATGCAAATGAATCTTCATTCATTGGCAAACGAATCTGTATATATTACCATGCCCTTGTTTTCCTCGCAAATAATTAGTCCTTCGAAACGAGGTACTATAAATTAATTAATGAGGAGTTCTTTGAAATAGAGTGTGTTTGTCACACAGCGTTCTCCAATTCTAACGTGGATTTCGCATTTCACGTTATCGATGCTACTTTTTTAGTACAAACTCATATGTATAAGATGAACACTCTGGTAGTGAGATAACTTTGGATGGATTCAAGCATATGACCACACACATAAAAAATACCAGAACAATCGACTCAGTATCAACTTTTCCAAACCTAGTATGGCAAGAATTCAAAATAATGATGGAAGCCAGATCCATTGTCCTCAATTCAAATCTTACAATGTAAACTAAATTGAAACAACA